CCCCTGAGTAGGGGGGATCAAAGGGATGAAAGGAATGAAAAGGAGCCGCGGAGGACCGATGCTCCGACCTCCTGGAGACATTAGGAAGGATACGCTTTTTGTCCTTTGATTCTATGAGTAATGGTTCCAAGGGGGCTCCGAAAAGGGAAGGGCCATCAAATGAGGAAGTGGCCAAGCACCACTTAGATTTGGCATCTGCTTGCCAATTGCGGAGCCATAGCAAACGGCGAGAGGTCACTGAGGATCCAATCGCCTTGGCCGCAAAACAGGATGAATTAAGGGTCGTGTCAGCGGAGAACTCCAGGGAGGCCAAAATTTTGTTAAGGTCCTGGTGGGACCTGGTATCCAACACGGGAAGCCTATCCTGCAATTGTTGGAGCCACAATATTGATGCCCTATTAAAGAATGAGGAAGCTAGGGCAGATTTAGCCGCCCAGGCCAACGCCTGATGAGTTTTAACCAATTATTGTTCGAGGCATTTATCCTCCGGATGGAGGTTGTCCTCGGGGGACCTGCCAAATTTGAGGAAGCAGAAAGAGCGGCCACCGGAGGGTCAACTATCAGAATTTGGAGAAGTTAGCTAGCTCCGGGGCCAGATTATATAGACGTCTGTCCAGCTGATTGGGGTTAGGCCCTGAATCTGGAGTGGCCCATTGCTTCTTGAGGACATCTCTAAAGAGTTTCGGGCCAGGAATCTCTTCTGATTCGATAACCGGTTCCTCAAAGAGCGGCACAGGAGGTGCAGCCTCTTCCCTGCGGGGCGCGGACAAGGAAGTGGACCCCAGACCAGTAGCAATCTTTGTTTTATGTAAAAGGGATCGAAAAAGTTGTGGCTTGAAAAGGCCCACAAATGCTGGCTGGTCTGGCATTAAATCCTCATCGTCAGAGAGGTCTAGGTCACGGGCATCCTCTTCCGTGAAGGAAGGGTGACTGGTGGAGACAATGGAAGGGGCCACAGCTCCAGTGGAAGTTGGATTGATGGCTGCCTGAGACCCTTCTACATCAATCTCAGAACAAGCAGAAGCAGAGACCCAAGAAGAGGTCCTGCACTGCAGCTCCAATTGGACCCCTTTCCAGATGGCCTCCTATATGAAGGAAGCCAATTCAGGAGGAATGGCAGGGCCCACTGTTGTGCCCCCCATGGCCTGGTCAGAAGATGGAACAACAGATTCCTGCAATGGCAGTGATGGGGCAGCCTTTAGCGGTGGAGGGTCAGATTGTGGACCAAAAAGGGCCTCCCAAACTTCCCCTTGCAAGGGGGATGCATAATTATTCCCATCCGGGGATAATGGGCGATGGGCTGCAGGAGTCTCCATAAGTGAGGCTCCAGAAGGTGGAGCAAGAGAGGTTTGAGAGGCAGACTCCACCTGTCTGAGGCCAGATTCAGGTTGGGCAGGAAGCTCCCTAATTGAGGCCTCCCGAAGGGCCTTTTGGATAGAGTGTTCGATTGTTTGATGCAATCGGAGTTCCTCCTTTGCCCTGGCTGCAGCAGCCTTTTCCTCCTTGGAGGAATGGGTCTTTTTGGTCTTTTTAGCTGGCCCAGATGTAGAAGGGCCCGGTGTGGTGTCCTCTGGAGATTGGCGTTTTGGAGCCTTGGGGTGGCGAGCGGCCATCTTGCTAAGATGGATGGTGGAGGCCTCTAATGGCCATGAGGCATTATTAAAATAGTTGGAAAAGAAGCCTGGAGAGCGATTGGAGGACAAGCCGCTCTGAATCTGACCGAACACAGGTGTGGTCTTATATTAAGACCTACCTAGTGGTGATAAGAGCGGCGAACTCTAGCTACTTCTCCGCTCTTATTGGATCTGCAGAGAACTGCCCAGCTGCGCTGTTTAGGGTGACCCGCTCCCTACTTCAGGTGGGGGTACAGGAAGATCCCTTACAGGGTCGAGCTGAGGATTTTGTACAATTCCTGCATGATAAAGTCGCTCAGATTCGGGAAGCCTGGACTCCGATTGGGTAGATCCAGGGGAGGAGACGGAGGTAGGTCTTGAGAGCGTTATCTGGGAAGAGTTTGACTCTGTGGTTCCTGAGGACGTGGACGGGATTCTGGGCAAGCTTAATGTTGCCACATGTTTATTGGACCTGTGTCCCTCCTGGTTGGTACTGGCCTCCCGGGAGGTTACACGAGGCTGGCTCCAGAGGATTATAAATGCTTCTCTGAGTGAGGATGTCTTTCCCGCCGCTTTGAAAGAGGCGGTTGTGAAGCCCCTCCTCAAGAAGCCTTCCCTGGACCCAGCTATATTATCAAATTATTGTCCAGTCTCCAATCTTCACTTTGTTGCAAAGGTTGTTGAGAGTGTGGTGGCGTGACAACTACCCCAATACCTGGATGAAGTTGTCTATCTGGATCCATTCCAGTCGGGCTTCAGGTCATGATACAGCACGGAAACGGCATTGGTCGCGTTGGTGGATGATCTCTGGAGGGCTCGGGACAGAGATTGCTCCTCTATCCTGGTTCTATTAGATCTCTCAGCGGCTTTTGATACCATCGACCATGGTATCTTACTGCACCGGCTGGAGGGGTTAGGAATAGGGGGCACCATGCTTCGGTGGTTCTCCTCCTTCCTCTCTGACCGTTTGCAGTTTGTGTTGGCAGGGGGGCAGAGGTCGATCTCGAGACACCTTATTTGTGGGGTGCCGCAAGGGTCAGTCCTCTCACCCCTTCTGTTCAACATTTATGTAAAACCGCTAGGCGAGATCATCCGTGGTTTCGGGGTGAGTGTTCATCAGTATGCTGATGACACACAGCTATACATCTCCACCCCAGACCACCCCAATGATGCCCTTGCTGCGATGTCCCATTGCCTGGAGGCCGTGCAGATCTGGATGGGGAGAAACAAGCTCAGACTCAATCCCTCCAAGACCGAGTGGCTGTGGCTTCCGGCATCCCGGTATAGTCAGCTGGTACCATCACTGACAATTGGGGATGAGATCTTGCTCCCCACAGAGAGGGCCCGCAACTTGGGTGTCCTTCTGGATTCACGGCTATCTTTAGAAGATCATTTGACGGCCGTGGCCAGGGGTGCCTTTTATCAGGTTCGCCTGATCCGCCAGTTGTGTCCCTTTCTGGATCGGGACGCCTTGCGCATGGTCACTCATGCCCTAGTCACCTCCCATATGGACTACTGTAATGCTCTCTACATGGGGCTCCTCTTGAAAAGCACCCGGAGGCTCCAACTGGTCCAGAATGTAGCTGCGCGGGTGATTATGGCACAGCTCGTTGCACCCATGTAACACCTCTCCTACGTGAGCTGCACTGGCTCCCGGTGGTCTTCCAGGTGCGATTCAAGGTGTTAGTTATCACCTTTAAAGCGCTCCATGGCTTAGGACCTGGGTACCTACAAGACCGTCTTTTGCCACCAATAGCCTCCCACCAACCAGTTTGTTCTCACAGGGAGGGACTACTCAGGGTACCGTCAGTCAAATTATGCCAACTGGAGACTCCCAGGGGGAGGGCCTTCTCTGTGAGGGCTCAAACCCTTTGGAATGAACTGCTCCCTGAGATACAAAATATCCCTGGTCTCCGTGCTTTCCGCTGTGCCCTCAAAACCCTGATGTTCTAACAGGCGGGGCTAAACATATGAACATGTGAATGTTTTTAAAATGTTATCTAATTTTAGGTTCTATTTAATTGGGCCAAACTATGTTATAATAATAATTTTAATTAGCAATTTTATGATGTTTGTGTATCTGTATTTTTCTTGACTGTACACTGCCTTGAGTCCTACGGGAGAAAGGCAGTATAGAAATATAATAAATAAATAAATAAATAAATAAATAAATAAATAAATAAATAAATAAATAAATAAGGCCACTGCTAATGGCATCTGGAGTAAGGAGACTGCGATTACAAAGGTGGTAGGACTGAAAACGCAACACCACTTCCCCCAGAGCCTGATCAATAAGTGTTACCAGTCTGAAGGCTGTGCCGCTGTTCCCACTTCCGAGCTAGGTAGGAGGTGGGCATATGAAGGGAAACCCCCAGGAACGCCAAAGAAGTGATATCCGTGGGCTGGGAGAAGCACCAGCAAGGCAGCTGCCGGCAGTCAGGGAAGCGCTCAATGAGGTGGAATCGCGTCTCTGCCCTGGAAGCGGCAGATTGAAGCGTGGTTTCGCTTGCCAGCCAAAGTGGCAGCTCACTGGGGCGTGAAATTCAAAGTCCAGCGCACAGAAGGGAGCCTGCTACCCAAAGGGGGAGGCTCCTGCAGCGGGTTCAGACGTGAGTCTTTCACGCTGCTGAGGGGAGAGGCTCAACTATAAGGAGCCTCAATCCCACCACCCCACAGGGATCGTCAGCGGAATAGGACCGAAGCCCCTCTCGCTGTTAGCACCAGAGGAAAATGTCAATAACAATAATAATTAGCTCTAGGCTATAGGAGAAATTGCAGGGTGCGTCTGATCTAATCAGATCAAGTCAGAAAGCTGGGAAGCAGCAACAGGAGGAAGAGCTTCTCAACTGTCTGACTCGATCTAACAGGATCTGGCTGTTAACCCTTTCCTGACCACTGGCCCCTCGCTTCCTTAGAAAGAGAAGAAAGATTGCTGTAAAACAAAAAAGATAAAATGGAAGAAAGGCATCCCCGAACACGTTTAACTATATTAAGATAAAGATTGAATTAATAAAAAATAAAATTAAGGAGAACGTATATGATTAAGAATAGAAAAAATAGAATTCAAGAGTGAAAGAAGATACTGTTTAGAAAAATAAGAATAGAAAAATTAAGATTTGATTAACAAATATGGAAAAAGAATATTTCGGCAGAAATTATAATTAACTAAAATATATTCGGGTATGATGAATTATATATGATACGATATGATATGGTCAATACTCTATTTCAAAAAATATGTGGGTGTGTATTGGGGGGAAACCAATAAACTTGTCAAAAAAGAGAGAGAGAATAATAGCTTGACAAAAGTTGAACTGACTGATTAGAAGAATATGTAGTTTTATAACCACATCGTGATATCATCTTTTATTCCTTTTATATCTACAGAAGTTCAGAAGAAGGAGATGAGGATGAAGAAGACTAATCCTACTTATGTATTGCTATATATTTTATTATTAAATACATTTCTCCATGCACCTTTTCATTGTTATCCTTATCCCGAGGCTGAAAAACATTTCAGAATAGCTATTCTCCCATTTGGAGCAACTGCAATTGGGTTGGGCTAAGGTTCTTATTATTCATGGCCCTAGTGGCTACCAATGATAAAATCTATATAGGTTTCCTGGTGCCGGAATGATGTTTTAAAGATGTGTAGATCATTGACTTCCGGTTTCCCTGTCTTCGGCGACGGCGGTGCCTTTTGAAGTTCCGCCAGCCCCGCCGCCTGTAGAGCCGCTTCGCGACGAAGAAGCGGCTCGAAAACTTCAAAATCCACAGGATTGATGAAGTAGAGATTGCAGGGCACAGGTCGAGCCCCTGTAACCCCCCAGGGAAGCTTCTGGGGAGAGAACAGGCGTGGCTCCCTCCCAACCTGCTGAAACTCTGGGCGACGTGGGACGATTCTGCTTTTGCAGAACAAGCCGGCTGCAAGAAACTCAAAGCGAAAAGAACCAGCCTTAATAAACAGCGAAACTACCTGAAGCCTGAAACTTGGAAACGCAAGTATTAGCGCTTTGTTGACTTTTTAATCTGAGAAAAATGCGAATGAGTGAAAGTGCTTTGAAAAAACATGGCGCTCAGCCTTAGAGTTAACGAGCCAGCAAGTGTGGATTGGTGAAGTTATCTTGCTTTGTTACAAAGTTTCCAAGTTGCTACAAAGTTGCCTTGTTTGTAATAAGAGAAACAAGTGGAAAATTTCTCCCTTTTCAATACTTGACTTTGCTTTACTTCAACCTTTATTTGATCAAATCTGGGGGACTTTTTTAGAAGTCTTTGTGCAGGAGGGAAAGGAAAAGGAACTTCCCTCTTTAGAAAAACTAGATCACGTGGCAGGATGGCTTCAAAGAAGCAGGAAGGGAAGGCAACAGGGGGGGGATCCCCCCCACACAAACATGAAACGCAGCTTCCCCCTGCTCAACAGCTACAGACTCAGAAAAAAGAATTTGATGTGGGAGATTTAAAAGAATTTATTTCTAAAACTTTGGATGATAAATTTCAAAAATCTCAACAGGAGATAGATGATAAACTTCAAAAATCACATCAGGAATTTATGCAGGAAATTAATGAAGTTAAAGATATGGTGAAACAGAACCAAAACAAGGTGACCAAAAAAATATCAGAAGTGGCATCTGGCCTGGCAGAATTTATTGGGAAAGTTGATTTTAAAGTTGAAGAACTTAAATCAGAAGTTATTGTTAAGATGAAAGACAATGATTATAAAATTGCTGATGTTGACAATAAAATGCAAAGAGTTGAAAACGAGATTGTCATGATACAATTCAGGGCAATGGAGTTTGCTATACGGCTTCGAGGAATTCGAGAGGAGGAAAGACAGGATTTGAGACAAGTTTGTTCTGAGGCCCTGGCCAAGATTCTACAAGTTAATCCTGATGTGGTTTTTCACAAAATAGACAAAATTTACAGAGTGAATTCCTGGGTGGCCAGACAAAGACAACTACCTAGAGATGTGGTCATATATTTTACAGATAGAGAAATAAGAAACGATATCCTGCAAAAATCCTTTTACACTTCTGTACAAGTGGGGGGCTCACGAATTGGAATTTATAAAGAATTGCCTCCTAAAATGCTGAAAGCTAGAAAAGAATTTGGCTTTCTTGTTAAGGAATTGCAAAATTTACAGATACCTTTCCGGTGGGACGCACCAGTTGGCATAATTTTCAGATACAAGGGAGAAAGATACCGTTTGAATACCGTGGAGAAGGCACAGCACTTCTATACTACTATTCTTAAGGAAAGAACACCATCTCCACGTACATCTACAGTTTTGGAGATTAAAGAGAGTGAAGAGAAGCAACCTCAATGAGAATTGCAAGAACAGTCTAAGCAGGAATTAGAGGAAGTGCAAGGTGCAGAAGGAGGTTTTCTGGATGAGCCCTTGCTGGAATCTTCTCCAATCTTGGACCCGGTTCGGATGATTGAAGTTAAGGATCAACGTATAACTCGAGCTCAATCTAAGTTACTTAAACAAAAGCAACAACAACAACAGGAAAGACAAGACAAGGAGGCAGTTAAGAGTACTGCACAAGAGATTGGAGCCATGGGGGGAGCGAGATCGAAGCTTTCGGATGACCTTCAATTATTTTGCTCTTTGCTCCAGAAAGAGGGAGATGATGTTTAAGTGTTTATCTTGGAATGTTAATGGGTTGAATTCAGCACAGAAAAGGAAGAAATTATTTACATATTTGAAACAATTTAATAATGATATAATTTGTTTACAAGAAACGCATATCACAACTCAAGATCAAAAATATTTGATAAACTCCAAACTAGGAACACATTTTATATCTTCAACTTCGCAAAAAAAAGAATGGTGTGGTTATTTATGTAAATAAAAAGTTAACAGCTAAAGTTATAGAAGCAGATGAAGATGGTAGGTTTGTAGCAATTGAATTGCTTACAGCAAATGGCCAAATTCTTTTGATTGGAATTTATGCTCCCAATCAACAACAGGACCATTTCTATAAGATGTTACATACTAAAATATTGCAATGGGATTACAGATCTATTTTAATTATGGGAGACTGGAATGGAGTAATCGACTCTAAATTAGATAAAAAGAGTTTGGCAAAGTCTAGGATCAGATTACCACAGACCTTTTTTGACATGAAAGAAGATATGGAACTAAAAGATGTTTGGAGAATACATAATTCAAAAGAATTGGACTACACTTTTTTTTCTGACAGACACAGATCCTTCTCTAGGATTAACTTCATTTTGTTGACAGATGATTTACTTGTTAAGACAAAAAGAACAAAGATTTTTCCAAGAACTTTGACTGACCATAGCCCAGTATGGATAGAAATTGAGATGGACAAGGTTGAGAGACGTTCTTGGAGATTAAATGAGAATTTGTTTAGATATGAAAAAAATACAACAGAACTTAAAAAGCATTTGAAAGAATTTTTTGAAATAAATTTGAATAAAGGTACCCCAATTGAAATTGTGTGGGACGCAAGTAAAGCTTATATGAGAGGGATACTTATCTACATGAACTCTAAACATAGACTGTTCCGACAAAAGAAAAGATCTGAACTGGAAATAGAAATAAAGAATAAAGAACAGTTACTTATTAAAAATCCAACAGATGAAAGAATACGTAGTGCTATAAAACTTTTGAAAGACCAATTTCAAATGCTTATGGCGGAACAAGTTGCAACAAATTTACAATATGCGAAGCATAACACATTTTGTAACGCTAATAAACCAGGCAGATGGTTGGCTTACACACTGAGGAAAAAACAAAGTATACGGACTATTGATAGTATTGATATTGGAGGGAAAGAAATCTTTCAACAAAAATTAATTAAAGAAGCTTTTGTGGACTATTATACTAAATTATATGCTAAAGAGGAGGTGCAGAATGGACTTATAGAAAAATATTTAAATGATAAAAGAGTTACAAAAATTACTGATCAACAAAAGGAAAGAATGAATTATCCTATAACAGAGGAGGAGATAATAGTAGCAATTAAACAGTTAAAAACAGCCAAAGCTCCTGGCACGGATGGTTTGACCGCAGTGTATTACAAAACTTTGCAAGCTGAAATGGTGGAACAACTTAGAGATTTATTTTGCAATATTCAGCAAGGGGGAAATACCCCCATCATGGACAACAGCTTACATATCTTTGATACCAAAAGAACAAATCGGTCCTAAAAAACCAGAGAACTATAGACCAATATCTCTTTTGAATACAGATTATAAAATCTTTGTGAAAGTACTAGCCAACAGGCTGATGCCTGTAATTCAAAAGGTGATTCATGATGATCAAGCGGGATTTATCGAAGGTAGATACATGAAGGACAATGTAAGGCAAGTAATAGATTTATTGGAATATCTTGAGAAGAATAAACAGATTCCTGCAGTGCTGGTCTTTTTGGACGGCAGAGAAGGCCTTTGATAGAGTGGATTGGAATTTTCTACTAAAGACTTTAAAAAAGATGGACTTTGGGGATCAATTTATACAGGCGATTTCAGCAATTTATCAAGAGCAAAAGGCACAGATCATTATTAATGGAAGTCTGACAACAGAGTTTAAAATTGAAAAAGGAACAAGACAGGGATGTCCGTTGTCCCCACTTTTATTTATTTTAACACTAGAAGTCTTGCTAAATACAATACGGGACTCTAACATCTTGAAAGGTATAAAGATTAGGCAAGAGGATTACAGAATAAAGGCATTTGCAGATGATCTGGTTGTTACCCTATCACAACCAATGGAATCAATAATCTTGATGAAGGACATTATACAAGACTATGGTAAAGTTTCAGGTTTTAGACTGAATCCAAAAAAGACTAAAATGATAGCTAAAAACATGACACAAGATCGTAAACATGAGCTTGAAAGGAGGGCAGGTTTTGAGACTGTACCTAAGGTAAAATATCTAGGAGTTCAGGTTGCAGAATCAAACATGAAATTGTTTCAAAATAACTATGAGGTGTTGTGGCGAGAGGTGCAGAAAGACATGGAGACGTGGAAAAAAGTGCAGCTGTCTCTACTTGGAAGAATAGCAGCAGTTAAGATGAACATTTTGCCAAGATTTCTTTTTTTGTTTCAAATGATTCCGGAGCTTAAAAGTGATAAACAATTGAAAGTCTGGCAAACTGGACTCAATAAGTTTGTCTGGAACGAGAAAAAGCCGAGAGTGAAATTGAAAATTATGCAAGATGTTCCAGAAAGAGGAGGTCTTAAACTTCCAAACCTACAGTTATATTATGATGCAGCAGCTTTAACTTTAACAAGTGATTGGTTTGGAAGTAAAAAGGCTGGAATATTGAATGTAGAAAGTTTTGATCTTGAATTTGGATGGCATGCTTACTTATTTTATGATGACAAAGTTGATAAAGTATTTAAAAGTCATATACTTAGAGACTCTTTGATGAGAGTTTGGAAGAAGCACCGACTCAAATGGGATTACAAAATACTGCTATGGCTGGATCTTGGTCATACTTTG